TGTTTTATTTTTTCGATTTATTTTTAAAGTCGATAAAGTAGATCTGTCAAGCCAACACATACACTGTTATATTTTTTATTGAAAAAAAATTATATGGGAAAATCACGAAAATTTCATTGTTAAGATACTTAACAACCCCCCTTTTTTATTGTAAATTTTCCATTTACCATGAAATTTACTGTTTTGTACAACATAAATCAAGGTAAATTTATTGTAGACGTAACAATATAAATCATTGTTAAGACAATAATTTTCGTCTTATTGTTACAATGTTTTTTAATGTATTTTTGTTGTTATTTTTTTTTCGGGTTAAGTTCAAATGTCGTTGAACTAATGATTATTGTTTATTTGTTTTGTTTAACACATTTTAGTTCATTCGTGCCTTGTTCGGGGTGCCATTTTTACTCAAGTCTTTCAGCGTAAGCATGAATACTAACCATTGACGTTAGGCCCGTATTCATTTCAATATTAAGAATGCAAATTCAGTAATCAAATTGATTTCATTGAAAGCAGTATTAGTTTTCCGTGTGATTCAACAGTGTAAAACTTCACACTCATTTTTGCTGTGTTAAACGTTAAGTAAATCAAAATGAGATCAACTGGAGTATTCAAAATAAGTTACGTCATAACACCAAATTTTTATTTCAATTTGATCTTCTGCTTTGCTCCGATTCAGTGTGGCACAGGGAAACAGCCACATGGCAGGATGGTCATGGTCGCACATGTCCGCCAGCAGAGCCATCTGTAGAATGGACTCCAATAGCAGCAGCACGCTGTGCAACATGCGGCTCTGCGTTCCAGAACCGTGGTTGAGCAGTTCTCGCAGAAATATATCCACAAGGCGATGATCAAGAAGATGGATCACAGCCGTACATCAGAAGCTGCAGGAAGAGTTTCAGGTTCCGCTCGCCAGTTGTTGATCCTCGGGCAGTGGTGGTCCATGCGGCCGACGCAATGCTTACAGATGCGACAATGGTGGGTACGGTACGTATCACAGCGGATACACACATTCCACTCTTCATGCTCGCAGTTGTAGTTTCGAGTGCAGATTGCAGAAGTCGATGCGGGTTTGTGGCAATGGTTCACGGAGCTGCACTTGAAACAGGGCCCAGAAGATGTTCTGTATGGTTTGCAGGATGTTGCACCGGGTCAGGTGACGTAAATCACGGCCATGTAGGTAACCTACACGCAAACAATTCCGTAGATCACAATAATATCGTTGTCATTGATAGTATCAACTTGATACCGTTTCCTTTCCGTCTCTGTCGCTTTGCTGCACTTGAACGGCTGCTCTGAGAAAATCACATGTCTATGTTTTCTTTTCTGGAGCGCAGACCATCTTGCTTTGCAGTGTTCTAAAAATAAACCGAAAATCAAAATCCAACGAACCATCTTCCTTCCTCCAAAAACTTACTTCAAAATGGTAGTCTACTCCAGCAGATCCTAGACGCAATTATTAAACACCTGAACGTACGTTATAAAACGCCGAGATATTGTCCTTATCAATCCCACGCAGCTGCGACGGTTCCACCGACACTTTCGAAGAAATCTCCGGATTCAGATCCTTGCGCTTGTCCTTGTTCAGCTTTCAATGCAGCTCGGCCTGTCGTTTCAGCATGGCATTCCTCTCCGATAAAATATCAAACCCATTCAACCGGTCCGGCTTGAATACAAACTCCTTCGCCTGACAGTGCACAATCATCCGGAATAGTGTATCTAAGCACCGTGGTATAATTCCCCGGTGAGGAATTTTGCCAGTCAACGTGAAGGACTTTCCACTTCGGGTCACCCCGTATGGATTTTACGTTCAATCACTTCCTTCTTCGTAGCAATCACTTCCTTCTTCGAATCAGTTCTTTGACCGGCGGTTGGAGTACCTTCGAGTAAACATCATGATGGTTAGAAGAATGCTCGAACACATGCTTGAAGATGTATTACGATTGCTTTAGGTTCGAGGAGCGCATCAGACGGACCACGTAGTTCCACACCATCTCGCTCCCCACGCTCGGCAGAACACTTGAATAAGCTTTCACAGATAAACAATATAATTAAACCAATCGGAAACGGGAAAAGTGAATTGAATCCGCGAATACGAAAAGAGAGACGATTTTCGATCTAAAACAAACGGAATATTTGAGGCACTAATTAGTTAACTAGCTGACAAATCCAGCGATATTGACTCTCGAGGCAAAACACAGATCACAACACCAAAAATCGGGAACCGGCTACGATTTGTTTTCCGGGCCGTTCGAGCTAAAGCGAAGTAGTGAACGAAACGACGGACAACAAAATAAACAATAACAAGAAAGCAGCAAGCGAATGACAGCTTGGATGAGAACCTCAATCAAAATAGATCAAAATCGGTTCGAGCTTAATTCAAGCTGGACATTGCATTAGGTCCTAAGGAACATTGATCGATTCTCTTCGTCGTCTTTCTCTAAGGGCTTTCTCTTTTGTGAATAACTTGAGCACATTACCGTTTCTTGTTTTGTTTGTAATATTCGAGGGGCACGCAATTGCCTTTTTGACTGCGTTGGATTTAAAATACAAGCAACACTCAATACGAAACTAACGATTTTAAATTGGCTCACTACTTGACTACCCGAAAAAAAATATACAGTGAAATTTTCAGTGGAAACAATGCTCTAACATGAATATTGCCTGTTGCAGTGTGGTGGCTACATTTTTGGGAATATTTTGAGTCGCACTTTGATCACAAACGAAGTGGCTCCGTCTAGAGGTAATTCTAAGACTAGTAGCATAGAGGTAACTCTAAGACTAGAAGCACAAACGAAGTGACAGACGGAGCGGATCGAACACTTTGGTGACTAACCTGCTATTTCAATTTTTCAGTGTACCACATGGCAACACCACTACTACTGGACTGTACCACATGGCAACACTACTACTGGATTGTACTAGAGTCGGTGTATAATGAGTCACGCCAAGAGAAAAACAGTGGAACTCGCATCACGGTTTTTGAAAGATTCCCTTCTCTTTCACTTGGCAACAGAGGATTTATGCATCAACTTCAAAGGACTTCTAGCGAGAAATTAAATTACCGGCTGCAGTAAATTATTATACTAGTGATTTTGTTGGATTGAATCAGCAACATATATTACAAATTCTCATTACTGATCATTACCAAACGAATCTAATTACAATTTAAATGCTCACTGCGTGTTTATGGTCATTTCTTCGATTAAATTTAACATTTTATTGCAATACCTTTCGTGTAGCTTTCATAGCATCGTAATGTTTATTTATTTATTTATTTGTCATTGTAAAGTCAATGTTATCGCAGTGCTTATTATATGTGTCCATAATTTGGTTCAAGGGTCCAAATTTGGCATAATTCGTACGATGACGATTTGTAGCAAATATATTTCTATTTCGTTAATGCCTACCGTGCCAGCACCATATTTGACGCGTTCCTAATGATGACGCACTCGTCTATTTTTGATCGCATCTCGATTTTGACAAGATATTTTTTGTAAACCTTGTTACACCATCATCCCTTGAGCACTGAAACTAATATATGCAGAAGTAACATTTCAAAAATAATTATTGAAAATACTCGAACATTATTGAGTGCGTCGATTTAGGAACCGCTTCGAATATGGTGCCTCCACGGTAGGTGGTGTAAATACATTTAAGGATGACAATAGTTCTATTGAATCAATGCTATGTGATACGATATCGTTTACGAATGAAATCATAGCAAATTCACGACGGTCTTTTAATGTTTGGATATTTATGAGCATACACCGAGCTGTGTAAGATGGCAGAGGAAATACAGTCCAACCTAACTTGCGGAGTGCATACAATAGAAACTGCTTTTGAACGGACTCTATTCTTTCTTCGTGTCTGATTGAAAAAGGAGCCCAAACTATGCTGCAATATTCTAACACCGACAAACCGACATGAATGATCATACAAAGTTATAGATTCTCGATCAAGAGTTAAGTTTAAGTTTCATGTCGGTTTGTCAGTGATTCTAATATCGACCTTACATAAGCAATGTACAATGTTTTTATCGTATACGGATCGTGAAAGTTATAACAGAAAGGTTTTATGAAACCAAGCATGTTGTTAGCTCTGTTAATAATTGTGTTATAATGATCTGTGAAAGTAAGGAAAATATGAGAAAAGGAAACAATAATTAATTCTTTGGATATACGATAAAGAAGGGAATATTCCTTTTTGCAATGCTTAAATAAAACAACAAAAATGTTATCTTCCATTTAATTCCACTTAAATAATTTCGGTATTCGTGACAGATACGTATTTCGGCTACGCATTTCGATATGTACGAACAGCGGCAATGTTCTTTGTTTATTCTACGCCTACACATCATCCATTTCGCGGGGACCGATCATCGTGGAGTTGTTCCTTTCCAGGAGATAAACAAACATACCATCATTAATGTTGTGCTTCTCCCGCACTGATCAGGCCCAATCCATAGCAATGCTTACCTTTTCCATCACCGGTCAGGAATCGCTCACAGATGAATGTAGTGGAACAATTTCCCCAGGCCAATTTAAATTCCTCTCACTTTAACTAAACCGCCGGGCCTTACGCATGCATAGTCCTCCGAAGATGGACTTTGCTATCGGTCATCGGTTTGCCTCTAGAGCCGGAAACGTATTATCCATGCGCGTACTTCACATTAAAGTAAAACACTTTTCTTCTTTTGTAGAGGCAAGTTTCATAAAATGTTGTTATTGTTTGTTTACCTTCTGCTATCCGACTGCGAAGTTTGACACTTGACGCTCGTTTCCGTCAAGTGTCAAACTTTGCGCTCGGATAGCAGAGCGTAAACAAACGTGCATAAAATTGTCAAAATGTGATGGTCAAAATATGAATGTTGCCAAGTTATTAACAAAAGTGAGAATCGGTGTAAAGAATCGATCAATGTAGATAGGACCTATTATAAAGTGACGCGAGAATATATGTGTGAAATATGTTTCAACGATCTTGAAATCGATAAACAAAATCGATTGATCGAACAAAAAAAAAATAAATCGCTGCAAGATCGCCCATTACAATATGCGCATCCAAGATCGCCCATTTTTGACGTTTTTGTCTTGGCGTCGTCAGCGTGCAGTGCAGTTTAGTTATTTTGCTCGTTTAAAACATTTGAGAAAAAACATTTTATTGAACCGTAACGATAAAGTGATAAGTGATAAGTGATTGTTTACTCCGATTCCAAAATGCCACCTACTGCCCTCCAACTCGAGCGCAGTAAGTTGGCGAAAAAAGTCTTCCTAGAGCGGAAGAAACTTTTGCAGGTTAGTTACTGTGAAATAGAAATGGCGGAATCCGCCATTTTGTAAGTAATAACGTTCCAAAGCTGATGATACGCCGTGGAAATAACCCTCGGATTTTTTGTTTGCTGTTCCACCTTGGTTCTTCGTTTGCAAATTGTGTGAGAGTAGAATTTTGCCCGGAGATTTTTTGGTCTTCTTTTTCATCGTTGTTTACACATGAAATATCAATCGGATGCATTTCAAATTAATCAGGCATGACTAGATATTACAGAATCAGTGGTGATGGTAGAATCCACCATTTTTACCTATACTGTTCGATTATAATGGCAATTCTCGCGTCACTTTTCAAATAGACCAAACTACATTGATCGGTTCTCTTCACTGACTCTCTCTTTCGTTAATAACTTTGCGCTAAAAACATGTTCAGCAGTTCTTTTCGTCCAATACGCTAAATTAATACTTTCTTTCAACAGAATATGTAGAAAAATTAGCTCGAAATATGAATTATTATTATTAACAAAAGTGAGAATCGATAAATGTAGATAGGACCTATTGAAAAGAAATGCGAGAATTATACCATGATTTTATTTTCATCGACAGCAGTCGCTTCGGCATGTCCGAAATAGCACGTCGGAACAGCACGAGGATCTCCAGCAGCTGACCGATCGGCACGAGGAGTCCCAAGAGCGGACGGAACAGCAAGTAAAGCCCCAACAGTGGACAACACAGCACGAGGAACCCCAACAGCGGACGGAACCAGACCAGAAGCCCTCGATTGGACGACAGGTAGGCTACAATTTCTAATCACCCATATTCTTGGTTTCGTTCGAACCGTTTTTTTTTTTATATGGAAAATTCGGTTCGAACAAAAACGAGAATATGGGTGAATATTCTTTTGGGCCTAGGACAAAGCACTTCCTACAATCTTTTTTGACACAGAAACGGACTGGTTTCATACGGGACGAGATTTGCGCTGGTAAGAATGAAAGGAAATTGTCCCTCTCCTACCACCGCAAATCCCGTTCCGCATGGAATGAGCTCGTCACAGTGAACATTAATTTAATAAGCGTTAATTCCTGTATAAAATATACTAAAAACTGCCTTTTTCGCTAGAGCTAATGACGGACATGATTGTACACCTTTAATCTAGTACGCCGATTGCGGTACTGGGTTAAAGGAGTACAACGGTACAACAATAGCATACTTATAAAGGTGTCCCTTAAGTTGACCACCAAAAATCCTACCATTTTTGTTGTTTTCCACAGCAAATGGCTCCAAGACGGCGCTCGGTTCGACTGCTCAGTTATGCCGAGAAGGAGGTGACAACCAAAAATCTTGTCAGCCAACGCAGTGCCCGGTGGATGGCAGACGATCAATCTTCGGTGAGTATTTTTCTAGCACTATGTATTCCACTGTGAGAAAGATCACAAATTTTCGAAAATCCTTCCCATCCCTCAAGAAAGAGTGAACTTTAGTGATTTAGCAATTATATTATAATTTCTTTTCATCGACAGCAGTCTACACGGCATGTACGAAACAGCACATCGGAACAGAACGAGGATCTCCAACAGCTGACGGATCAGCACGAGGAGCGCCAACAGCCGACGGAACCTGACCAGAAGCCCTCGATTGGACGACAGGTAGGTTCCTATTATTCATTATATTCTTAAAGCTTTCTTCCCACAGGACTCGTTCCGTACCCGCACGGAATGAGCTTGACACTGTGGGAAAATAACTTTAATCAGCTAGAAACAGGAATCCTCCGAATAGCGCGATGCCTGGTGCCGGCCACCCAACGCAATTTCTTGGTTGTTTCTCACCAATTGAGCTCGTTATCTGTAGGTGACAAGGTTATCATTGCCCTTAATCACATGCAAAAAATGAGCTCAATTGGATGGAGGACAACCGAGAAATCATGGTGGGTAGACCGAACCAGCCACCGTGCTATTCGGGGGATTCCTGTAGCTGATTGTAAACGCGGTGAGATTTGCGGTGGGGTGACCTATAGCCTATAGGCAACTAGTATGATGGAGCACTACTCTGGCATATCGAATCCATTTCCGTCATAGGCGTCAACAAGACAGACAGCTCTACATCTAACATTCATGCATGAAGTTCTTTGCTCACGAGTAAAATTACGAATACTGTAAAAAACATAACGGGACTGTCGAAATACGTGTTCCGAAGTGAATTGATGTATGCTTAAATGATGCCGCACCCTATTGGCTGTTTCATTGAAAAAGAAAGAAAAATAGGCCAAAACCGTCCTAGAAAGCAGCACCATAGGAATTCCTATGGCGAAAATTTCTGCGACGGTTTCTGTTCGTTTTGTTCTGCCTCTTGAAACACAATAGGGTGCGGCACCATTTCGGTATAGCTCCCTTCACTTCGGCACACCGCCCTTATATCAGTCTTCCGTTGTCTTTATTGTTTTTGACACGTATGACGAAAATGGGTCCCATATGGCGAAGTAGTGTTCCACCTTAATCATTCTCGGTAAGTGCGCATGCATTATGCCATATTATGGTGTATTCAGATCTGAGCGTGCATTAGCGGAACGGAGCAAAATTTTCGTTGGCATGAAAGATAGAACTAGTATTTTTCTCTCTCTCTCTCTCTCTCTCTCGTACCTTCGCAAAATATCACCTTTAAGGTGGATTCCGTTCTGAGCGATATTCCACGCGCGGGGCGGGATTTTGCGAAGGAACGAGAGGGAGAGAAGTACTAGTTATCTCTCTCATTCCAACGAAAATTTTGCTCCGCTCCGCTAATGCACGCTCAGATCTGAATACACCATTAAGGTGAATTCCATTCTGAGCGAGTACTAGTTCTCTCTCTCATGCCATAAAATTCTGCCATGCCAGATCTGAATACACCATTAAGCGTGCGTGGCGTGCGTGGAGCGGGGTTTGGTGCATGAGACAGATAAGTAATACTTTGGTCTCTCTCATATCAACGCAAATTCCGCCTCGCGCATGCTAATATCGTGGTGTGTGGTATTTAAAGCCTGCTTACAACTTTTACCACGCTTTTCGGGGAATTAGTTCGCCAGTCAGAGTTGAACTAAAATCCTACCATTTTTGATTTTTTTTTTTCATTAGCAAATGGCTCCAAGACGGCGCTCGGTTCGGTTATCCAGTTATGCTGAGGAAGGGAAGCTACCATTCACAAAACTTGCCAGCCAACGCAATCCCCGGCGGATGTCAGGCAATCAGTCGTCGGTGAGTTATTTTTCAAGCCACTCAATACCGTGCATATGCGTAGTGTGTGGAGGGGGATGGGTGATAGGGATAGGATAGCATTGTTTCCTGTGCGTTAAACAATAAACTTTAATTTCAGTCATATTTTTTGCGATATTTTTTAAAATTTGAAACAACTTCACCAACGTCCACCACTATAGAAACGTTAACCCTATTGAGCGCTTTCTTTTCTTAAAATAGCGATTAAACTACGTTGGTGATTTTAATCTGAATATCATGTAGGGTGGGGAATGGCTCTCATAAATGGAACACCTGGATTTAACCATAACTGGACCATAATTGGAGCATAGTTCGAAGTGATGCAACTGACATCCGCCAGGGTATGGTTGATGCCAAAATCGTACTCGTGGGGTTACTGTCCGCGTTACAATTTGTTACAATGGGAAGAGGACTTCAGAGAGTTTTGTAGATGAGAATATTGTAATAGTTCAACATGATGTTCTAAGATCTTGGTCAAATCTCAATTGAAGTTCAATGGATTGGGAAGAAGTTCAGGGAGCTTTATTTCATGGAATTGAATTAAAGAAACTTTGTGGAAGTGCAGGAATCTACGTAGAAGTTTAATAGAACATAGGGATATCCATGGAATTTCAATATGATTTCAATAAAGTTCTCTGGATGTTTATCTACACAGAATTTCACATGTCTTCAAGAAGAATGAAGCGATTCAACCTTTACATGAGACGTTTACGTTTATCCTGCAAGTAGATGACATCGCCCTTGCCATACTTGATCACCAGATAAATGATGATGGTATGACTATCGTAAACTACCGTCCCATGGTCATCGGTAATCAATCAATTGGTAATGGTAATCAATTTTGTAAAATTCTTTTGCCATGTAATAATTTGAACAGACTCTAATATCAAAGCCAATAAACAATCTGAACCGCTTAAGAGCTGAATAAGAATATTAGCTAAAGGAACATATTTTTGCTTTTATAAGCTGTAATAAATATTCAGGTATCAATGGTGTTGGGCGGAGCTAAATAAGAATTTGAGTAGCTGGTACTAGTACCTGTGCGCTGGTCATTTCATCGGCGGCGGCGGTGGCGTGCATCGGCGTATCACTTTGCTCGTCGTAAAAATATCGCATATCCAACATGAATTCAAGTAAGGTAACCTAAATTGAACATAAATATTTGATTGGTGTTTGTGACATGTTATAGACAACGCCATTTTAAATTTGCTACCGAAAACACCATCGTATCTTTTCGGTACAGTATCAGAATTATATCTACGGTTGTTTGGATGAATGAATAAAGGCTCGATCTTTGTAAGGATATTGAATAAACAATATGATAAACATTGATCTTAGTTATCAATTTATTTGTTATTTGATATGTCACATGATGGGTTTTTTTTGAGACTCCGGCCATTTTCTCGGGGAATCTGGAACGCATCCAGGGGTGGCACAGTCCTGGACACTCGATATAACTGCCATCGGTTGTTATGTTTTTCGATCCTTATGTTATTTGAGGTGTTGCTTGATGTGTTAAGGTATAAGTCAGATTTTTTTTCTACTTTTCCTGGGGAATATCTGGTATATCTTGTTATCGATCTTGGCACTTGATGCAGTTTTGTTCTCTAATTATCATGAGGTGTTATGTGTTACATGGTAAGTTTAGGCAAATGTCATAATCTGGCCACTTCCCTGGGGGTTCCCTGCAGGGAACTGTTACTGAAGACGCGAAAATGAAATATCTAAGCAACCTGTTAATTTTCCTATTGATTCAGAATACGATACAGCACCAAAACGTTAAATCTCATTAAACTAGAACGGCAAAATCAAAAACATGTTCGATTCAACCAAAATGTAGGGGGTTTGGCAGCTGTAGTAAGGAAACATGCACATATTACGTAATTGTATCTCCCAGCTCCGCTTTAGTAATGTCTTACATCGAACCATAACATGTTCTGTATTCTTCATGCTTTCAAACGCAAGAAAAAAATATTTCTTAAATCTTACATAATAAGTGCATGGTCCTTAAGGGTTTGCGATATAAGACGGATTTTTTTTTTCAGAATTTCACGAAACTTTCATCACAGACAAACAGACGTAGCTCTTTATATATGTTTTTCTTGAAAACATTGTACCTAAAAAAATAGGACCTCAGTTACGATATCTCACGAGCTCGATCAGTAGGCCTGGCCACTCTGTGATATTCTTTCCGAATTAATCTGCCAAGTAACTTCAAGCTAGTGTCACAGTTAATTTTAATAAGTATTTGCTTGCGTTCCCATTTGCAGATGCCTATAATTTGCCCAGTTTTTGATACTACAGTTCCGAACCACTCGAAGCTTAACACACTTCCAGCTACCAGTCAATCGATCAAATCACATGCATCTTCGGCTCCATGCGGAGACGACAATCAACATGTTATCATCTTCAACGATGAACAGTGTCAAGATGAAACATCGGTGGATGTACCGGAGCATGTAAATCACTGGAAGAGCGTAGTCGGCCCAGACGGCATAGAGCGGGATCAACGTGATAATCAAGAAGGAGGATATTTGAGGAATGAACCACAAAAGCCGAATCCGAAACGACGGAACAAGCGCAGGAAGAAAAAAAACATGACAGAGACGGTAAGCAAAAAATAGTAGAGAGGTATCTATATATATTTAAAACAGAGTGGTATACATAAGACCGCACATAACTCAAGAACGGATCGTCATATTTGAGCTGTTTGGAATTAAGAGTCCATCACGTTATATCACATTGATTTGAACTTTTGCTGAATGAACACGAGCACAAGCAACTATAAATAGGTAGAGATCGCAAGTTGATGCGATATGTTTCCAGCGCTCATCGTACAGATCTCTGAGATCAGAGTCTCAATTCTAGATGCTCGAAAAAACTGAAGCTAGCAAATCATTCCTCGAAAAATCCATTTGTCGCTTCTTGCACCTTTTTGCAGGAAATCTTCATAAATCTCTTTAATATTTATTCAGGGTACGTGCAGTTCAGTAGGACGGAAGACGGAGTCAACCATCTCACCTGAAATAAAATCTACAAGCATTAGCATTAAAGCTGAGCCTTCCGACTCTGAAGATGGACAACTAGCTGCAGTACCTGGAATCACGGAAAAGTCGTGTATTCCCGGATCATCTGCTGAGGTATGGACATATACTAAGCACAAGCAATCTGGGAATATTCCTAAAGTAAATTAATTGAAATTGTTGAATCATTTGCTATTTTTATGGTGTATAGTTTTGAAAGTACACAAAGTTGTATTTATCTGTAAGTCATAAAACTTTTTCATAGTTGTAGAATTTTAATTTTTGTTTTGCAGTGACAAAGATACTGTCATACTTTCAAGTTCCAGAATCTTAGAAGTTTGTTCATTGGAGATCGTTTTTTTTTTTTTTTTTTTATCTTCAAGTCTCAGAATCTTCAAATTTTTTCTGAATTTTGTTTTTATACCAAGATTGGAATTTTGAAATTTTGTCGAAGTTCCACAATTTTTATATTCGATTTTGAAATCGAATTGGATACTAGATCACTGGCCTCCCCCTGCCCTCTGGCTACGCGTATGCATCTCCCACTATCCGTTCAGAAGATTCTGATCTGATTGCCCATCTCTGCATGTGATCATATTATCTTTTGATTATTCCGCATACTTTTGATTGATTGATTTCGTTTATTTAGGAGATTTTCTGAAAAACACGTTATTTGCAAAATAAGAATTTACAACCTTGATTTGAACTTGAAATTTAACTATAGGGACCTGGAAAAATCAGGGAAATTTAATAGGGATTTTAAGTTGCCACCCTGCGGGAGAGCTCACTGTATACAATTTTAATGTTGCTTTCTTCTATCAATAGCATCCCACTATGCCTGCTGTTACGGCCACCGATAGCAGCGCTCATAATAAACGGTGGCAGCCAATCAAAGTCGTGCTACTATCAGATGCTGAATCTTTTGTAAAAATGTTCGAGTTCGGGTTCCGATATAAATCCGTGAATCAGCCGGAGAAGGGAGCGATGAGATACTATCGGTGCAGTCGCATAAAACATAGAGCACGCCCACAATGCGAAAGACAAGTTCTAATGTTCATCCCAAATTCATCAAATGATTGCACGATTTCCGCAAGAGGCCATCATACTTGCACTCAGGCACCGGTTCAAAATCTAGCTCATCAAAAGCTATCAGCTGAGCATCATCAACTCATCGAAAGGCTGCTTAAATCCGGGGTACCATCAAAAGACGTCAAAGGACATGTGAGAATCCTGACCGATGGAGTGTCCAAAAACCAATTGGATTATGCGGTCAAGTCTTCCAGTCGCAACATGTACGGGAACGGAACGCTGTCAATGGGTATGATATTACAATTTTATTATTTTTTTTTTGAAAGAAAAATGTTTATTTATTCTAGTTTCTGGTCAAGCAGTGGCTTCATCAGAAATCTCAAACATTAAATTACGAATCAGTTTGCTGTCTGGGTAACAAAGTGACGTAAACGCCACGATGATAGATTTTTGTTATTCACTTTTCCAAACAACACTCAAAAACACTCTTTCCTTGGAAAACAAATGTATGCCAAGCATGAGACAATGATATAAGCCATACATTTGCAGAAAAATAGTAAACATTTTCAAAGTTTACGCCAAACAGGTGTCCTGCATAAAATTTTAGTCTTAAATCAAGGTTCATATTTTTTGCTATAATTTATAGATGAACTCTCCACAACTCGATATTGAAGAGACCATCGAGTAACAGAATTATCGATAGAAAAACAATCTCATCAAATGAAATGCCATTAACTTTCCATATGTCTCTATGATTCTACAGAGTTGACTGTATTTTTCGATCATATTCAACGGATTAAGCAATAATTTCATATATATTTTTTTCTTGTAATTAAGATGGACTGAAAGTTACTGTAAATCGATAACATTTTTGAAAGCAACTATCGCAAATCTTACTACTGGTACTATGTGAGGAAATAATTGAAATGCTAATTCAAACTAACCAAAATCGACTTGTTTTGTAAAGTGTTGCAGTTCGCCACGGATCGATGACTTCATATTGATATCATTTTAATGCTGCAATGAATTGACCTTGATGTAATTTCACCTCAGTGATGAGGAGACCTGTCACCTATAATTCAGCGCCAGCATCGGTGAGAAATGTCTCGCTCTAATGGCATAGTTCCCCTGACGAAGGGCATTTCCACGAACGATGTCTGGTTAGCTAAGGACAATTATTTGTCTGGTGGGGCACGGGATCGTTTATGGTTTCAGTTATTTTGTAGTGTTTGACAATGATGTCACCGAAGCTGTCTCTATGATAGAACGAAAATATTTACGAGGCTTGAGTCTTTTAGTTAAGCATATGGGTTAGCATCCGATTTTATTTCTCTTTAGTACCAGTGCTGTTTAAAGGGTCAATACGTCTTTAGTTACTATTCTCGCTAGAACTTTCATTTGCCTTTACTATTTATCAGTAAACGCAAGTCAGAATGAATTACATTTTGTTTCGGTTGGCTTTCATCTTACTCACCATTCAGACTTATGCTTGGTTGTCCTATAATGTACATACCTAGAAGTCGTTTCAATTCCACTCGATCCATGGCTGCATGTCACCAACCATGCTGTCTGCGGAGATTTCGCAGATCTCCTTCCATCTGGTTGATCCATCTGCGTATCTTTTCATCTATTTCTAGTCGGATTGTTATCGAGCACTAAAAGAATTTATGTTTAATGGATGTTTGTTTTGGCCGATTCCTCGCATGAAATTCCCATGGTGATAAAAACGTGGCGTGTGATGTTTTCTCGTGCGATTAATTGTCGGAATTTCACAATTATGTTTGTTTGGCTGAAACTACAGTAATTCAATAAAATTATCGATTATCTGACTGTCAAATCTATACTAAACACCAAATCAAACAGACTACATACCCTAATAAACATATCATGGTTAATTTGCTTAACGACGTGTTCGGGATATCATCCAAACCATTTGTGGAATAGTTCAATCATTTGGGTTATCGTTTGTGTATGGTATTTTTTTTTATTACTCACATCATGTAACCAAATGCATGTTTATATTTGTAAAATATAAATTAATGATTCTCATGTTTGCCTAAGGTTGGAAACGATTTTGCACAACCTTTCAAATTGTTTATTGGGCTCTCCCTGTGGAATACTTTGCCTTGAGGTTAAACTTTTTTTTTTTCATTTTCTTTTTTTGTGATCAAGTCGTCTACAATATTTGCTGTAAAAATCCATTGTTAATTTGAGCTCTATGAATTTACCCCACCAAAGGGCAATATACGCTTTAGCCTGAACGCCGTAATATACACAGCAAAAAAAAAATGTAATATCAATCAATGTAATTCAAGCTGATGTATGAAATAATGATCTAATAGCCAAAATCAGATACAATATTACATCAATGGATGTAATTTGGTTCGCAAAATCGATGTACATCGTACAACGTTATATTACACAACCGATGGATTGACCTGGTTGCAGCAGTTTGGATGTAATATTCAACAACTTTTTTTTCTGTGTAGAATGATGAATACAGATTTATTTATTGACTTATGATTTTTTTCCCCATTTGTATCTTAGGTGAGTTAGAAGAATGGACGGCAAAGATGTCGACCATTCCGGATGATGTTGCAGCTGCCTTCGTGATCGGGAAGGACATTGACCATGAACATGGCAAGTTCCGCATAGTTGTATCATCTATGAAACTCCTCAGCCTGCTGCGTCAGTTCGATACACTATCGGCCGACTGTACATTTAAAACTACCCTACAAGGGTATCCGCTGCTTGTAGTAGCTGTCATAGATTCCATGAGGCACGCGCACCCAGTAGCCCTTGCATGCATCTCTCACCAGCAAGCAGCTGATTATATATTTGCGTTTAAAACTATTTACGAAACATGCGGAAAGTTTGGCATTAAACTGGCTGGCATTCGATGGTTCGTCAGTGATGGCGAGGTGGCAATAAAGAATGCAGCCGTCGAGGTTTTTGTGGGCTGCAAAACCATCAACTGCTACTTTCACGTTACCCAGAATGTTAAAAAGCATTTCAAGAAAGGAACCGAGGTGTCAACAGACGATCAGAAAAAAATCTTTCACGATATCACCCAACTGCAAATTGCTCCAACTGCAAACCATTTCCAAGTTGGTGTTGAGTTATTTCAGTTAAAGTATCAACAATATACACACTTCATGGCCTTCTTTGATAAATATTTCAACAATTCCAACTTCTCTGGGTGGCACGAGTCGTTCTCGCCAGGAATTCCCTCTACCAACAACGCGGTAGAGGCTCTGAATAAAGCAATCAAGTACAAGTATCTTCATCGTCGCAAAGAATCCTTCGGGATATTCAAAACCAAAATCTTAGATATTGTTACATCATATGGCGATCCAAATAGAGTAATATACTACGACAGAACACACGATTTGCGACACGAACGGCAGGCGTTTGAATATTTTCAAAGCGGCAAAAAGTGGAGATCTATGAACCATGGAGAGGAAAAATTCGTGTTCATGCCTGGCAGCAACGACAGAGAAGTTACTTCGTTGGACATTGCCAGCTTCATAAAACCAGCATTCAATGATTTTGACCAGTTCGCGGCGCAGATA